CTGACCAATCTCTGTTGATTTGTCTGTAATACAGATCACTTTGTCTTTTGAAGCAGTATGCTTTTATTTGACAGTAATAACATCTGAGCCTCCTTCGGTGTTGGAAGTGATGTTGCGACACTTCAGGAATTTCAGAAGAATGATTTTCATTGGATGCTGGATTTGGAGATCTAGGTCTCTCAATTAGTGCCTTGATCTCTTGTAACAGTTTGGTCTCTCTGCCTTTCGGCTCCATTAATTGATTCTGAGTATCTTTAAGGCGTTTTTCATTACTCTCTTTTTCATCTTTTAGAAACTGATTTTCATGTATGAGTTCAAGATTTACTTTGATGATTTGTTCCCATTTAGCATGCAGCTGTGTATATGACTCTAGCAGTTCTTGTATATCATTTTCGTTTTTGTTGTAATTCTCATGATTTGTGGTGAATGCTATGAAATTAGTGTTGGTATCTTCTTCATTGTCTGAGTCATCGCTTAGTGTTGTCACATATGTTTTGTTCTTCCTTTTAAAGTATGTTGGACATTTTGACTGGATGTGTCCAAACCCTTTGCACTCATAGCACTGTACCCCTTCTGTGTTTGATAGTCCTTCTCTTGGAAACTCCATTACGATCCTGCTAGTAACTTAAGCAATTTGGCTCTGATACCAATTGAAATATATATAAAGCGCAACACACAGTGATGTTGAAACTGACGTTGTAACACAAACGATCTGTAACGCAGTTTGGGCAAACAACCATAATCTGCGAGCCACTTCTCAATTTGAGAATTTACCTAAATCCACTAAAAGCTCAATATTTAAAGTACACTGTTTGGAACCTGAGATTACACAATAAAATGATCTTCCCTACCAAACTATTGAAACCTAAACACATGTACTACTTTCTAGGGAAATTTAGTATCATATTCCCAAAGACTCCCATACCTCACAAGATTAATATTGAATGCCATGATCTTTGTGATAAAGGACAACCCCTATTTATAGTAGCTAATTCTAACAGATTTGTGAATAATAATGTTATTCCTAATCAAATTAGAACTAGAAGATCTTCAATAACAATTCATCTTAGAACTAGTATTCTTCAATATCTATTCCTTTGAGGACAGTATTCCTTCATAGAATTGGAATCCTTTTTGCACATAACTTTGACAAGGTCTTTGAGTCAACATATTCAATTTAGAATTTCAATGATTTTTTTGTTGATTTTTTAAAATAAAAAGTTGATAAAAGTCTATGAATATTTTTTATATATACTTTTATAGAGTCTTATAAAGTTTTAAAAAGTTTTGAACGACTCTATGGAAGTCAATCAAAGTTTATTAAAATCTATTATTTTAAAAGTCTTTAAAATTTTATAAAAGTCATGATTGAATACACCCCTCTTAGTTTCTTTATTAGTGTAACTTGTAGGTGCACCCGCGCGATGCGCGGCTATATATATAGTATGATATATATACAGTATAGAAGAAAAAAATTGAAATGAAAAACTTGTAATTTTATTACACATGGATGAATTTAGTAATTTTATTAGACATTGTTGAAGACTTCATTGTTGAAACAATGTTATGCATGGCTACCTATTTCGTCAACTATATTAGCTATTCATTTTGCAAATTCCTCGATCTCCTTACCCTCGTTTTCTGATTGAACACTTCTCAATCGTAGATTCTTAGTAAGCCTTAAAACTTTACAGGATTTCCAGAGATATGATGAGCTAATGCTCGCTTGAACTATATCCTGTCTGGTACCCTTTGGAATTACTGGTAGAATTTGCCTGAATCGCCACAAAAAACCACTGGTTTACCACCAAATGTCATTTCATAACTACTTGGATTTTTGCAACGCAACAAATCTCTAATAGTTCGGTCGAGGGCTTCAAAACAAAATTTGTGCATCATTGGAGCTTCATCCCATATTATCAACTTGCTTTGAACAATAAGCTCTGCTAATGGACTGCCATGACTTATGTTGCAAGTGGAATCTTCATTAACAGATATCTGTATGGCAAACCAAGAATGTGCAGTTCTTCCACCTGGTAATAAAAGAGAAGCTATGCCGCTAGATGCAACATTTAATACTATTTCCCTCTTAGACCTTAAAGCAGAGGACAATGCCCTCCACAGAAACGTCAGTGCGATGCACGACTATATATATAGTATATAGAATATACCGTATAATATAATTAGATGAAAAAATATACAGTTTGAAAACCTAATAAATTTGAAATAATAAACTTTGTAATTTTATGATCATTCATGTATTGATTAATGCTATCTACCACATCCAATGTTGGAGCCAAAATAACATTGTTCTTAAGATATGACAGATCACCTTACCGTGCCGAAACAAAGGGAATGTGCTATCAACAATTGCAGCAATATGATCATCGTCACACTTGAGCAATAAGTGATATGAAATTGTAATATCTGCTTCACTATCAGTTGAATTACCAACTACTCCATCACCTATATTAGCTATCCATTTTGCAAACTCTTCAATCTCTTTAGCTTCGCCTCTGATTGTACACCACTTAGGCGTAGATTCTTTGTTAGCCTAAATACTTTACAGGATCTCCAAAGATATGAGGAATTTATGTTTGCCCCAACAATATCTTGACGTGTGCCCTTTAGAATTACTGGTAGAATTTGCCTGAAATCGCCACAAAAAATAACTGTTTTACCACCAAAGGTCATATCATAACTATTCGGATTTCTGGAGCGTACAAATCCCTCATTGTCAGGTCTAAAGCTTCATAGCAGAATTTGTGCATCATTGGACCTTCATCCCATATTATCAATTTGCTTTGCAAAAAATGGAATGTATCCCATAACCAAAACCCAATAAAAGAAATATTCTCAGTATATTTTTATATCAAATTATTTCCATATCCAACCCATTACACCAATATTATTTTATAATATTTAATAAACAAATATATTAAATATAATAAATTCTTGGGTCAAACTTTATTTCTTTCATTTTTTTTCTTCTAAATAATCTGACCCAAAACTAACCCAATAATATAGCCCATAACCCAAACCCAAACCCAATAAAATAATTAATAAAATGTTTTCTCCTAACCTAAGATTATCTCTAGGCAAATTATTGTGTGGATCATGGTCCACATATTGCTGTATGGACCATAAAAGAAAATACATTTTTAATATATTAAAACGTACATTATTTTTGTACCGAATGTACATTATAAAAATAATATATTTGTAGTATTCAAATAATGTAATTTCTCTGAATACAAAGTACATTTTAATATTCTAAAAGTACATTATTTTTGTACTAAATATACATTATTTTATAACATACAAAATATGATCCACATAGCTTGTGTGGACTATAATCCACACAATAACGATTGTCATCTCTAAGCCTCTGCACCAAATTTTACACCATAGGGAATATTTCTTGTATATTCTTATATCATTTTTTTTTCTATCTCCACTTATTTGAAGATTTGATATTTTAATTATTGATTTTCTTTAGATAAACGACAACTATTTTTGTTGTCAATAAATGAGCATGTTTTTGTCAACCTATAATGCTTCTTGATTTTTTTTCCCAAAAAACTAAGAACTAAATATTATATTAATAAAATGAAGTGTTCTTGTATAATAGAAAAGGATAATATTATTGAGAGAAAGACTAAATTATAAATTATTAAAAATCTCTTAGTAAACTACATTAGTAGTAGAAGTATAATTATTTTGTGATTCATCAGAAAGTAATATTTTGAGGCCATCTGGGTGAATTATTCTTGATGCAGCAACATATAATTGAACATGAACAAATACTGGTTCTTTAATAGCAACCCAACATTTGACAGTGTTTGCCCTTGACTTTTGTTGATAATCATTGCATATAACAACATTAGTGAAAATTGACTTTTGTTAAACTTGAAAGGTAGACTCTGGTGTGATGCGGTGATAGCCATTCTAGCAATTAGTACCTTTGACCAAGCATTAGGTCCTCTCAAGATACTTAGCATTAGGTCCTCTCAAGATACTTACTTCAACAATATGATCAGCTAATTTTGTTACAACTAACCGAGTATCATTGCAAAGTTCAATAGTGTGGTCAATATTTATTATTAATTTCACAGGTTGTATTAAAAATTAATTTTAAGATTAGTTACATATAAGTGATTAATATATTAATACAAAATATATCTAACTAAAATTAATACAAAATATATCTAACTAAAATTAATAAATCTAACTAAAATTTAGTATGCATTTATAGAAAACTAACTGGCAAAAGTAGAGATACATATATATGTGCACCATTTTTCAAAAATACATTATTAATTTACTACAATTTTTATATAGTATACATCAAATAAATACATTATGGTATATATAATAACATACAATATATGTTTAGTAAATTAAAGAATATAGTATACATATCATAATTAATAAGTCTCAAAATTATCAATCTACATTTGTATGTACAAAAAATGGCCCAAATCCTATATATAAAAAAGCAATCCAATCCAAATTAATAATCAGGCAATTGAGTATAAATGTTGCTCTTCTTCATCACTCCAAAGTCTAAACCATATCAACGTGATTACACAATAAAAGTTCATAATCTCTGTAATAATTCTAACTATAGTAATCCTAACTATAGTAAGTATACTAATAAACCTTACTAATAATCATGTTAATACTACAAATAGTGTTAATAGGAATACTAATAATCTTATCACAATTTGGGATAAGGAATACTACTAATCCTAATTATAATGACCTCTATCTATATATATATACTTTATGAAATTATTATTACAAAATATTACTAATTAGTAATTACTAATGAAATGTGAAATTAAAAAAAAAAAAAACATTTTTATCTGCAGAATGGAAATAGTACATTGCAGTACACTTTAAAAAAAAAAATTAAGATTAAAAAAAGCTTCATAATGCGGTCATTGACTATTTGTCGAGAATGTTCTATATTCATTTCCAGATGTCTCTTTCTCAAAATCCAGAGCCACGATGAAGAATAGCTCTCACTTCTCTCTAAAAATTGGTGTAGATTTTTAACTTATTATTGAGACATTGAGATTCTGAGTGTCGCTTGGGTAGATAAGTTCCAAAATCCGTGATTTTGGAATGGATCTTTGGAGCAGACATGGTTTTTTCTTTGCTTATGCCGGATCTTCGCAATTGGATATTTCACCGTTAGACGAAAGCTAAACCGTCCGTAGTGAGTTCGCATCACAAATTCCGGCATAAGATTGCTGTGTTGACTGACTGACTCAAAAAGCCATGAAATCAGGTAAATTTTCTAACACTCATTTCTTAATCTGTGTATTTTCGTTCGTTTTTTTCCTAAAAAATTGTAGATTCATGCACTCTGTAAAGCAAAAGCTCAATACATTACAATTCGAACTGACCTAGTTACAGATCTGGGCTTTCATTTCAGGTGCATGTTGGGATATCGCCTAGGGTTTGCTTAAGATGAGTTCTTTCATTCCTAATTTTGGTTTACTATTTAAACATTCATGAATTCTAGACAAAATACACCACTATTGAACAATATGTTGCACGGAATTGCACATGCAGTATTACTTATAATTTTTCTCAGTTTACTTTGCAGGTACTATAGTTCTATGTATTTGTCAACATGTTATGGTATGGGAATATCACACACTTAATTGAAATAAAGTTTGTAAGAGTCTCAGGACATTTATTAAATTACTGTGTATTTTGGTTCCTTTATTTGCTAAAAAATGTACATTCATGGATTTCTTGCAATTTGTAAGCCAAATGTGAATTATTCTGAATACACTTTTTAAACTGCAATGTTATTTTGTTAATGTGATTTCTGTTTTTTATGAGTATTGGTTTTCATGGAATGCATGTGTATATTAAGTAGTTTGAGTTTTGCTTATAGTCTACTTATTTCATAGGTCTTTTTTTTCTATGAAAATAAGGGAAAAAAGCACTGTATTAAGTCAACAACAAAATAAACAGTTGAAGAAGTACAGAAGACTTTAGTTCAAAACTAAAGTTCCATTAGAATTCAGAGGTACATAATATATTAATATATTCCCCTTTTCTATTGAAACTATCTTTAGGCGGATTGTGTAATTGACATTCCCAATTACACAATCCTAAGCACACTGTCAATCTTCTAGCCAACCATTTGGAAAGTAATCTTCCGTGTTTGCCATTTAGAAAGTCATCTTCCGTGTTTGCCATTTAGAAAGTCATCTTCCGTGTTTGCCATTTAGAAAGTCATTTTCTGTGTTTGCCATTAGGTCGTCCACTACCTGCAAAAAAAAAAAAAAAAAGAGCCCAAGCATAACCATGTATAGATGATTTATCATGTTGTAGTGAATTAGTTTAGTATGTACTTCTAATTTGAAACATGGCCACATGCCCACTTGCCCATAAGGCATATAAATATATGTCTAATAAGCATCAATGTCTTTCAGCTTCCAATAGTTTTACAGGCTAAATTGTCTCAAAATAGAATTCCCCTGGTGGAACCAAAGAAAAATGTTCTATGAATACAATGTCTACTTCCTACATAGGGAAGTAATTATAAATGTTATGATATTAGACAGTTCCTTTCTATTTTAGACTAATAAAGTAATACCCTAGTTGCACATCCAGTATTACTTATGCTTTTTCTCAGTTTATTTTGCAGGTTCTATACTTTTCGTAATTAGTCAACATGCTATGAGATGGTAGTATAAAACACTTTATTTATCTAAGTTCAGACTGAGACAAAATCTCTTAACTATAATACAGTTGACTAATTTTTAATAAACAATTGATGGTTTAAGTTTACTGTGCAGGTACTAAACTTGCCTTAATAAAATGCACAGTCAAAGAGATGGCAGTATAAAAGAGTAATAATGTTAGTTTGTGAGGTAAGTTATTTTAAATTTTATGAGATTATAGTGTTCCTTTCTGTTTAAGAGTAATACTTATGCTTTTTTTCACTTTACATTGCAATTAATATACTTCCCTATATTAGTCAACATGCTTTGAGATGGGAGTTAAACACAAGTATCTATCTGAAGTTTGTGAAGTAAGCCACTATCAATGGTATGATATTACAGTGTTAGTTTATGTTTCAGACTAATAAAGAAGCACTACAGATAGTTGTTAACAATGCAGTTATCTTACTATATTGGCATAGGATTACAATTTATTGTAAATGCGTCAAGCATATTACCTCCTTCAATTGATAGACTTCTGAAATAGTACAAAGTTTTATATCCCTAGATAGTGATAATGAATAGGAACTACACTCCCTAAAACTTGATTGTGAGACAATACTCTTCATTGGAGTCTGCTCATGACATATACGGTAAATCCTTACTAATGTCTCCCAATGCTTCACATGCGTTTTCATCACTTCCAAATATTTGCATCCCCTGCAATCCTCAGAACTTGAATGGAATACAATCATTTGCTGTAAAAAGGGACTTAGTAAGTGTTTGCACTAAATATATGACCAGTTCAATTATCTTCATTAATCTATAAATGTTTTTTTTACATATTGAATAAATATTTCTGATTACCCCCAAAAACCCATAGTATTAAGATCCCATGCCATATTTTCCAATTAATAAATCACAAATGACTATAGCCACCAAAGTTTGGTTTATAATTTGTTTTTTCTTCTAAATTATAAGTATAGTTGGTACCAGGACTATGTGGTCCAATGGTACCCGGGTTGGACTTCCATTAGGAAGGTTGTGAGTTCAAGCTTCAGTGGAGGCGTTATTAGCTCCTTGTGTTTCAGTAGGTTGAGAAAGTATATGAACAGATACTACAATGTAATAGAGCTAGTAGCATTCAAAAAAAAAAAAAAATAAGTATAGTTGGTAAATCAGAATCTTTCCACATAATAAGTGTTATTAGATATATAAATTTTCTTTCATTTTTTAGAACTACAATTTAAGATCAAAAGGATAGTTGAAAAATTATCTTATTTATACTATCAACAGAATCTACAATACTAACCTTTTGTTCTTGAAATAGGTCACACGGGATTTACAACCACATAACCAATTCTTAAAATCACCATATCCAGTAGACTGCGATAGAACATTAGTAGTTTAGTACAGATACTACACACTGGACTCTTCTGCAGAAACAGCCTAGATGAAAAGTAAAAATTCAAATAAGTAGTAGAAAATGTACTTTTTAAAAATATAGATTAGGAAACTGATTGCATTAGAAGGTCAATAGAATATTCAGTTGTCATCTGCAGAGACATATTAGCTATTAGGAATCTGAAAAAGTCTTTAGAATCGGAAAAAAAAAAAAAACTAACAGTGCAGAAGTATATTATGCAAAACTTTGGATTAGCTGTTAGGAAGTCAATTAGAGTAAATGGTTGTTTAGCAATGATCTTTTGGAGTGGAGAGTAGATTTCGACATCCCTTCCCACCACATCTTTAGTAATAGAAGATACAATTGTAAAAAACCATTTAAAGTTCTATTCTAAGAAGATATTTGCGGATTTTCTTACCAAAAAGCTCATTGTCATTCACATCAGCTCATTGTCATTCACATCATCAGGATCTCTTCATCCACGCAGTTCTGGGACTGATAGCCTTAACTTATACATAGAGAATGCATTTTTTGGTTTTTCTTGCAGAGTATTGCCTATACGACTCAGGATCTGAGGCTGAAATAGTTGGTATAAATCTACCTCTTTATATAGAGGTAGAATTCGAACAGGATTCAACCTAGAGAAACGAAGAGTCTTCATTGGAACAATGTTTTTAATTATGTTGTTTCAATCTCAAAGTGTTTATTTTAAATTTTATTTAGATCAGTTTGAATTTGAATTTGTAATATATAATGCTATTTGCTTCCATTCAGAACTCGTTCTCCAAGAATTTTCGGTAATTACAATAGATCAGTTTGAATAAGAGCATCCACACTAAGGGGAGATTGTGGAGTTATTTCAGAAGAAATAACTTGGATTGAGTTATTCACTAGTGTGGGATGGAGTTATTAGATGAAATAATCATCCTGCAAATTACAAAATAATGTCAGAAAATAAAGAAAAAGAAAAAGTGAAAGGAAGAAATGCTGTGCGCGTTTCGCGCACAGCAGGGCCAAAACCTGGCGCGTGCAGTGCACGCGCCAGGTGGCGCGTCAGGCGCGCCAGTCGGCGCGACTGGCGCGCCTGACATAACTTTTTTTATTTTTTTTTTTTAATTTTTTTTTATTCTGTTTTGTTTTATTTTATTTATTTTTTCTTTCCCCTCCCACCTTCTCTTTCCTAATCACTCTTACATTATCTCCACATTCTTCCCAACTAATGTGGATGCTCTAACGCGTAGTTGCCATCTTTATTGCTCGGTAATTACAATAGCATTAAATTAGCGGTCTAAAGTCATCATTAAATAGCGTAGCAAATCAGAACTCAAATTGCGCTGCATTAAATGTTGCCGTTTCAATTCAATGATTGGCAAAACTTCTTGTTTTATTATAGAGTTAGATTAGATTAGATTAGATTAGATATAGTCACATTAGTCTTCCCACAAATAAGAGCATCTACATCAGAGGAGAAATGGGGGAGAATTTACGGGGTCGTTTACTTCATTTCTCCGTTTTTCCTTTTTCAGTTTTTCATTTTTCCATTTTTTCAGTTTTTCATTTTTTCATTTTTTCAGTTTTCCATCTCCATTTCTCCAGTTTTATATTTCTCCAATTTTCTGATTTCATTTACAAATTTCATAATACCGAGCACAAGTAATAATAATAATAATAATAATAATAATAATAATTTCATTTTACAAATTTAATTTTTAACTAAAAAATTCAATACATTAATACTAAATGTACAAAATGTAACAAAAGTCGATAAAAACAAATTACTAAATAAATTACAACTATTTCAAATTTTTTTTTAAGGTCTGTAACTATTTCAATAATTTTAGTACATAGTTTGAGTGCATAATAATAAAAATTAATATTAATATAATAATAATAATAATAATAATAATAATAATAATAATAATAATAAGTAACAATATTAGTTAAAGGAAAAACGGTAATAATAATAATAATAATAATAATAATAATAATAATAATAATAATAATAATAATAATAAAATCAAAGGAATTAAAGAAGAAGAGAAAGAAAAGGATTGACAAGTATAATAATAAACTGAAGAAGAAGACGAGCCTCATCCTCAACGCTCGCTGACTAAGTAAAACTTACTCCAACAGGATTCGGAACCGAGACATCCAGGCCAAGAAACACTGTTCACCCGTTTTTTTTCATTCCTCCATTTGGAGATGTTTGTTTTGGGTCTCTCCAAATTCCTTAAGAAATTTGGAGAATGGAAATAGAAGATGGATTTGGAGGAGTAAATTTAATAAACAAGTTTTCCATTTTTCATTCTTCCACTTCTCTAATTCTCTATTTTTTTGGAAAATCCTCCAATTTTTCATTTTAGTAAACAACCCCTATTACTTTTGAGGCCAAAATGTCATGGTGGCAGAGAGAGAATCAAGAGAGAGAAGGGGTGGGGAGCATCTGCAAATGTTGGGATATTACTCTGCCCAAGAAAAAAAATGAATGATGGAGGAAAGAGAACCAATAGAAATGACATGCTTATTTTTTATATATTTTTTTTATAAAATCAGTTTTGATTTTTTTCCCTTACCCTCCCACATTATTCTCTTTCCTACTCACTCTTACATTCTCCCCCCTAATATCTCCGACTGATATGGATGCTCTAAGGTGATTAAATTTAGTCTTTAATTTTCTCAAAACGTTCAAACACCCACAATATATTCATTAAGAGTTATTATATGTACTTTCTCCTATAAATAAAAGTTTTACCAGTAATTTATAAGATCAATTTACATTAATATTAACAATGATATTATGCCAAAGACTTTGTGATCAAATAGTATAAATGTAAAGTGTGATTTCCTCAAATGGAAGGTCATAGTTCCGAACTCAAAAACAATGATACCTCAAAAACTCATTTGTGATCTCATGACCTCCCTTATGGGTGAGTCACTATATATTATTTGAGCACAAGATGGTTGACATTTACAAACATCATAGTTCCGAACTCAAAACAATGATACTTCAAAAACTCATTTGTGGTCTCATGACCTCCCTTATGGGTGAGTCACTACATATCATTTGTGGTCTCATGACCCCCCTTATAAGTAGGGACGGAGCGAGAGGGGGGAGGCGGGGCAGCTGCTGAAATTATTTTAGCAAATAGTCATACGGAAACGAACTCTAGTTAATCGCCTGTAGCGGTGGTAAGAGTAGTATATATATATATATATATATATATATATATATATATATATATGCCAATTCAGTGACGCATCCAAAAATTTTGTTCAGCGAGGGCGAAACATTAAAATAAAAGGGATAGTTTAAAAATAAAAAATAAAACAGTTAAAGAACGGAACATTAAAATAAAAGGGATAACTATTGTTAGATATAAACAAAAAATAAAACACATCAAAATTTTATAAAAATATTTATAAATTAAACATCTCATTATACATACATATACACACACACACACACACATATATATATATATATATATATATATATATATATATATATGCAATAGATCAGAGCTTCCAGGGAGATTCTTGTGATACTACTGCACACATGACATAGATAGAGGAAACATCCAACACCATTATTGAACATAGTAAACTAAAACCAAAAACAAAAAACTAAATATATAGTCTAAGACCAGAACCATCCGAGTGGCTCTCCATCATCATCATCATGGTGGCCGGGGCTGCTCTGCCGCCACAAACATGGCGGAGAAGTAGTTGTTCTGTCCATCGTCACTGCCATCATCCTCTTCCGATTGCAGAGCCGCCTGCAGCCCCCCGCCGCCACCGCCGCATTCATGGTAGTTGTGATGATCCTGATTGTGAAAATACGAGTCCCCGCTATCCACCAGCTGATGAGGACTGTCCTGATCCACCACCGCGCTCCCCGCGCTGCCACTGCTCAGCCGGTCCTCCACCTTCACGTTCGCTCCCACACCCGCCGCCGTTGCATTCCCCGGAACCACTGGATCAGCCGCCGCCGCCTTATGGCTCACCACCTCTTTGGCTTCCAACTTCTCATTCAGGGAAGCCAGCTTCAATAATAATCAAATGTCACAATATCAAAGTGCTACTCAACAGAGTCTCAAGTCAACTGTATTCCATTTCAACTAAAAGTCTAAACTATACTTCAAACCTATTCAAGTTGGTTAGACTGTTGACTTAGGTTATAAGTTCAGACTCTCAGAGTCCTGGTACGAGAGTTAGACTCTTGACTTACCTAAATAAGTTTCGAACCCCGGAGGTCTGGTAGAAGATTAGACTATTGACTTAGGTTATAATTTCCAACTCCCAGAATCTGGGTAGAAGAGGCCTAATGCCTATTAGACTTATTAGTATAACATTGGCTGATTTATCTCTTTATAATCCTTTATTGACCGAGTTACAAGGTAAAATTTATCCAATACACACATTTTTATGATCAACATGTACTAATTTAAGGTCTAATTAAGTTCAGGTATATGCTTCAAGTGTTTGAAAACATACTTGTTTTGTTTTCTAGTTAAGGTGGGGTTTACAGCTCTGTGCAACACATATATTTTAATTTGTAGCTAAGAAGGAATCTTCCATGTTACGTGATCAACAAGCTAAGGTCAACATTAAAATATACTGGAGTACATGAATATGTACATGTTCTATCCATTAAAATATGACAGATCGCCGGATCTTAAAGCCACCAAATTAAACAATTTATTGATAGGGATTCATATATATATATATATATATATATATATATATATATATATATATATATATATGGTGTTATAAATAACCCAAATGAGGAAGTTGTCAAATTAAATGCAGAATTTCAAAGAAAAACCCACAACCCGACAAGCCAGTAACCTAGTTTGAAACAGTTAGTAAGCGAACTGCTAATGTAATCAACAATTCAGTAGTTTGGAACAGTTATTAAGCGAACCGTTAAAGGTAACACGAAAGTTAAATTGAGAGAAAAAAAGAAAGCATTTATTACCTCGGCTTTGAGCTTCTCCTTCTCTTTGAGAATGGAGTCATAGTCAGAGAGAAGGGATTCATAGGAGGATTTGAGTTGATCATAGTCTCTTTCAAGCTGTTTGGTCTTCCACCGTGCACGGCGGTTCTGGAACCAAACAGCCACCTGCCTAGGTTGCAGCCCAAGCTTGTGGGCAAGCTGGGACTTGCGTTCTGGCTCCAGCTTGTTCTCTTCCTCAAAGCTCTTCTCAAGCAAGTGCACCTTAATTAACAACCAATCAATTATTAAATATGGGCACCCACGAATCAAATCAAATGGAATAAAACAACAAACTTTTAATTTGTTAGATTATATTGCCATATATGATTATATGTCTTGACTTTTCTCCGAAAAATTCCTTCAATTTCATAATCAAGATAAGGAATTTGATGCCGCCCAATATGAATTGAATATGCCAAGCTTATCTTAAAGGAATCATATAAGATCAGGCATAATCATCACAAAAGAAAAACACAAAATTCCATCTTTTATCAGCGTCGCCAACTCCACAGACCTGCTCCGGAGTGAGGCGGCGCTTCTTCTCCGGCGACTGCTCGTCGTAATATTCCTCGTCAAAGAGTTCCTCTGGAGAGGTGAAGAACGGTCGCCTCTTTGAGGTTTCCTCAAGCTTCACCACCGACCTTCCTCCTAAACCACCCAGCAAGAAAACAGTATGAATTTGATTCTTCTGAGTCAACTAATCCTTAAAAAGATCAGATTTTTAACCACTAAATCCAGTCAAAATTTATATATGTCCGCCTCATATAGATCTGATCATCTTTTACTATTCAAAACCGCCATGATTCATAGAGAAAAATAAGGTATATTTGACTCGGAGAGATCATATGATCAGCAGGAACAGTTATTTATTACTTATTTTACTTCTACTAATAGACTCCCAAAATTCTACTCCTTCATATGTACTCCATGAGTTGACAAATCAGTATTGATTATGATTATTTTCATCACGTGAGTCCACTGAAAAATGTCTATATAAAAAACATGTGAGAGGAAGTACAAGTTGAGACTTTAAAATAAGAATACACCAAGTATTTTTTACTTATTTTGGCTGAAAATTTGCATTGGAATGTGGAAAAGAACAGAACGGTTTTTATTTTTTTTACCTCGGAAAATAGGATCGGCATTCCCGAGGAACAACATGTTGCCATGGCATGCAGGGTCGAAGAAAATACGCCCGGATTCCATATTTTTCGTCGAAGATTTTCTTGAAAACCCGGCGATCAATTAGAGTGTATTAAGTACTGTATATACGACTTCCAACAAAAACAGCGGTGAAAGAAAAGCTCAAGAGAGTAGTTGACGGCGTTTTAGAAGAGCATCAGCTTGTGGCGGAAGAAACTGGTACTCCACAGCAACCTCGCCGGAGAGTCCAACGGGCAGATGCAGAACCCCATCATGCCAACCACCTTTCCCAGCTCCGGCGTGTTTCTCCGATGGCGACGGCGATCACTGATTTTTCCGGGGAAAAATCAGCAGATAACTAGGAGATGTGGCTGCTTATCCGTGACCGGCGGGAAATACTCCGGCGAGGGTCCGACGGCAATTTAAAACTCTTTTTAAAATTTTATTTTTTTAAGATGCTGAGTGTGATTGCATTCGGCAGCTAAAGTTGATGGGGGTGAAGGGAGGGAATTTTATAGTCGTGTGTATAAGGATAAAATTACGGAACTACCCCTGCTACTCCCGATGCGGACAAGGAGGGTATGGTAATTCCAATCGGCCTTCGCTAACTTGCGCGGGGGGCGTATGCATGATTTGGCAGTTAGATCTTAGCCGTTGGTTACATCGTGAAATGCGCAAAATGTGGAAGATTAGGAGAGAGAGGTGGACCCGTAAACAGTAGCCATCCTCTGCGGTCGGAAGATTGTCGGGCAGTTACATCCAACTTAGCTGAATGGCTGTGACTTGACAATTCGAATCTTTGCAGAGGGGCCCTTTCTCTTTCGTTATTTTCCTTTTTCCACCCTTTCAATTAACTTGAATAACCTATCATGATATATTGGAAAATATGTTTCAAATTATTTTGTTTAGTGAAACTTCTTGTGATGTGATATGTTTTCTTTTGTAATTAATAAGTTCTTTTTTATTTAAAAAATTAAAGGAATGAATCAAATGTGTTCTTTATATTTTTGGCAAATAATATAACAATCTTGACTTTTTTTAAAAAAAAAAATAAGTTGAGGTGGTAATTAACGTTAGAATAAGCTTGAAGGGATATAAGGTGCGTGGAAGTGGAAGCTAGGGGTGTTCATTCGGTTAATCGTTCGGTTAACCGAACCGAATTAACCGAATTTATTTTTGCTTTAACCGTTAACCAAACCAAAATTTACTCTACCGATTTAACCGAACCGAACTTTTTTTCGGTTAACCGATTAACCGAAATTTTTCCCCCTAAAATTGAAAATCCTTAAAATAACTCCTAAAATAATAAATCTAATTAAAATACATATCCATAGTCCAAACCATAAATTAATGTCTTCATAAACATACAAAAACAATATCATAAGTCCATAATCCATAGTCCAAACCATAATATAAAATGAGTTAATACCCAAAATCGTCCTCGACTATAGTGGTTTTTCTCAATTTCGTCCTAAACGACTTTGGTGACCTAATATCGTCCCAGACTTTTGTGTTTCGCTCAATTTAGTCCTCCATTTGTTATTTCGTCAAATTGGTGTTAAATAAATGGACAATTCAATAATGTCAATATTGATCTCTCTTTACTTTCAACTTGTGAAGTGCGAAATTCCTCTTTCTTGTACAAATTACACCCAGAATTACTCCCGGACCTGCAAATCAAATTTTATATTCGCAGTTTTAGGAGTAATTCTGGGAGTAATTCGTAAAAAAAAAAAGGATTTCGCAGTTCACATGTCTATGAGTAAAGAGATGCCAATATTAAAATTACTGAATTGTCTATTTATTTAACACCAAATGGACATAATAACAAATGAGGGACTAAATTGAGCAAAAACACAAAAGTCTGGGACTAAATTGAGCGAAACACAAAAGTCTGGGACGATATTAGGTGACCAAAGTCGTTTAGGACGAAATTAAGAAAAACCACTATAGTTGAGGATGATTTTGGGTATTAACTCAATATATAATATATTATATATATATATATTCCAAAATTCGGTTAACCGTTCGGTTAATTCGGTTAACCGACACTTTCGAACCGAATTAACCGTTAACCGAATTTTGAGAAAACCTTTAACCATTCACCGAATCGAAATATTTCGGTTCGAAAACGGTTAACCGAATTTCGTCGGTTCGGTCGGTTAACCGAAATTTCTCCGAAATTTGCACACTCCTACGTGGAAGCAATCATTGGGCTTTGAGGAGCTGTGGACTTGAAATAGATTATAAGAAGGTAGCTAATGGAGTAATGGTTTGGCAATCGATGAATTGAAAAGATGTGTGCTGATTGTTTGTGAATGATTTGTTGGATGATTGGGTGAGTAGGTAATTATTTATGGTTAACGGTTAAGATAGTTGTACACCATAGTTGTACTGTGCATCAACTACATAATCTTGACATATTTTAAAATATTTATTTAAAAGTAATCATTGGCATTATCTCATTCGCACAATACGCGTGAAAAATTAGTATATATAATTGAATTTTAAAATGCAAGTAAATTGTGTTAAATGTGCAAATAACAGTTCCATATAATGCACCTAACTACAAGTAAAATGTATTAAAAGTGTCAGTATAATATATTAAAAGTGTAACAAAATGTCAAGTACCTTATGCATAGATGACACCCGAGTCGGACTTCTATATGGGAGGTTGTAAGTTTGAGCCTCAGTAGAGGCATTATTGGTTCTTTGTGCTTCAGTATGTGAGAAAGACTTTACTTGCACATTTTACTTGCACACTTGTATCAAAGTTTGAATTATTTACGAAAATACCACGACATTTGCACATTTTACTTGCACACTTGTATCAAAGTTTGAATTATTTACGAAAATACCACGACATCATTTAAATCCATTAAATATATATATAGTAGGGTTCCAATGAGAACACTTGCTTAGGTGAACACCCGTGCATCAAAGTTTGAATTATTAAATCTGAACAAAGTTTGAATTATTAAATCTGAACACCCGTGCATCAAAGTTTGAATTATTAAATCTGAACACGTGGACAGTTGCGATTGATTCTCAGCTCTTTCCTAGACATTCGTTCTTAATTACCTGAGTGCGCCCATATATATATATATATATATATATATATATATATATATATATATATATATATATATATATATATATATATAGTAGGGTTCCAATGAAAACACTTGCTTAAGTGAGAACGTGAGAACAAATCGTGTGCATCCATCTAATATTTTTTAATGGTCTAGATTATATTAAGGTGTGCGAACGCGAATTAAATGTGTGCAAACACACTTAATCGCGTTTGCACACATTTAATTCGCATTCGCACACACTTAATATAATCTAGACCATTAAAAAAATTAGATTGATGCACACGATTTGTTCTCACGTTCTCACCTAAGCAAATGTTATCATATGATCCTAAATACAAATATATATATATATATATATATATATATATATATATATATATATATAGTGGAATTATGGATATTGCACTACCAGCATATCTAGAATATTCCTATAATTTAATACTATTCTTGTAAATTAGGGTACAAAATAAAATGAAATGAGGGAGGGGTACGAGATAATTGTTATACCATCTGGTCCTGAATTGTATATTTTTAGTATTAGAATTACAAACATATAGATATAAATTGTGTTTTTAAGTTTTGAGAATTCGTGAATCATGAATATAATACAGCTTCATCACAAATTTTAAAATTTTAAAAAGTAAATTGTTAATATTTATTATGTAAATTGTGTATCTTTGAATCTAGGACCACATAATAATTTGTCTGGACGAGAGGGAAGGACCGAATGGGTGGGATTTTTTTAAATGTTAAAGTATATTGAGACACGATATGTTTAAAAGAACAATCGAAACAGTTGATGAGACACGGTAATTATACATTATTTTAAGGGTTATTTAAATGAATTATGCGCGACTGAAATCATCAGTAATAATTCAATTAAAAGACAAAATTTTAAGTTAAGCACCTTATGCTCAGATGACATGTAGTGTCTTCTTCTATATGGTAGGTCATGAGATTAAGCCTTAGTAGAGACGAACAGATTCTACAATGCAATAAAGTTAGTAGCATTAAAAAAAACAAATTTTTAATACAAATAATACAATTACAACGATCCAATTACTCTAATTTTACTATATATATAACCGTTGTCTTGAACGGAGGCACAGTTACTTTTCCCGTCGGTGGTTGTTGCATTCGAGCCTTAATATTCTCAACTCTCCATAGTGCTTACCAGGGAAGCACCTACGTATTCTGGGCCCAGGGAATCAATCTACCTTTCTTTCATGTGGTGGGCAGGAAATGGCCACCTCAAATATAATGCTTCCAGATTTTTATTTTTCTTTTTTATTACAAAACATAGTTTCAACTATGAATCTTGTTCTAAAAGGGATAACCAAATAAATGAAACATAATTTTCAATCACATATTTAATTATTGCAACACTCTTTTAGTGTAACATGTTGTACAAAAAAAAAAAAAAACAATGTATTTCGCTGTATAAAATCCTGGACTCAACCAAATTGTACATGTGCAACTGTAATTAGCATATTAAAGAAAGGTATGCATGGAATCGTGGATCAATGCACCCCTTTTAAATATACATGTTTATGTGTTGATGTTTGGACTTTTTAGGACTTGAATATCATTATGGAGAAGACGGCCAAGAGAAAGGAAGAAAAGAATAACTAGTTGGAGTAATTCATAACTAGTTGAATCAATTACATACTTTTTGAAGTATTAATTATATGACTTGATTGAGGAATTAACTCTGAATAAATATATTGATGATGAATGATGAAAGGTTTACAGAGAGGGTTTATATACCCGTAACATACCACAAAGGTAGGAGAAAAGGCTAAAGACTAGGATAACTATTCTAATACCTCTAATTGTCTAATACACTCCCCTCAAGCAGAAGTCGGACAAGGGACGACACCAAGCTTGAAACGGAGATCAGTGAACCGCGAGACAGAGAGAGACTTGGTGAAGATATCCGCTAGTTGATCCTGAGTAGACACAAAGTTCACCTTGAGAGCACCAGATGATACCTGGTCCCGAAAAAAGTGGTAATCCACTTCCACATGCTTAGTGCGTGCGTGAAAAACTGGATTATTGGAACACAGATAGGTTGCCCCTAGATTGTCACACCATAGAACCGGAGTAGTAGAACAATATAGAGCAAGATCCCGGAGAAGGGACTGAACCCAGACCACTTCAGCTGCTACATCGGCAAGGGCTTTGTATTCAGCCTCGGTCGAGGATTGGGCAACGGTTCGTTGTTTCCTAGAGCACCACGATATTAAGCTGGATCCTAGGAAAACGGCATACCCAGCTGTCGACTTTCTATCCACTGAGCAGCCCGCCCAATTCGAGTATGAAAAGGCGTGAACAACCGGAGACACCGAAGCTGCAAGACGAAGCCCTAGAGTTAGCGTGCCTT